GGTTGAAAAAAAAGGGGATAAAAGATACAGAATGATGAGAGACTGGAGTAGGATATTGCCAAAGTATCACCAGATGCTAGTGCTTAATATAAACTGTAAAAAACAGATATGCAAATACATTCTTTATGAATTTTTAAAATTCGCCTATCAAAAGTTATTTACCATAAGCTATCCAGTAGTCTAAAAAAATTATATTAAGACTAGCGCCATCTGGTGGCTATTTTGGAAATGATCCTCGAGTTTCCCTATGATGAAAAGATTGTAAATCTTCTATGCAGAGGGACTGCCATTCATGTGTACGGGGGTGGGAAGGGTGGGGAGAGATAGTAAAGGGATTAAGGTGTTTGCCTTGCATGCAGCAAACCCTGGTTTTATCTCTGTATCACATGTGGTCCCTCAGATACCATCAGGAACACAGAATAAGGAATAGCCCCTGAACACTGCAGAGTTATGTGGCCCAAAAACCAAGTAACAGGTTACCAAACTCATTACTGTGAACTAATCTATTTTTTTGGAGCCAGTTATCTTACTGCAAGAGTAGCAAGATTTCTACCAAAGACCTTTCTTTTCCCAACTGACGTCTCTGCCTAGACACAGTTATATACAAAATCTGACACCATAAATTTTCTTTTAACAAGTAACTTATTTTTAACATAAAAGTCTCACATCCTTCGTCCTGGGGATTTGATTTCCAGGAATTTATACAATGGGGTGCCCCTACCCCCAAAACCCAAATAAAAAAAGCAGAAGTTAAAAAGTGTGGACAATATGAATTCAAGTATGTAAATACATAGGGAGAACGTTGTATGCATTATACTAAAGACTTTTATTTTGGTATTTTATTTTACATTTTCCAGCAGTGTTAGGGGATATCAGGGCTATATGATCAACGGGAGGGTCTTTACCTTTACCTTTTATCCACTAGCATAAGGGGATCAAATCTGGGGACCCTGTGCATGCCAGGCAAATCCTCCAGTCCTTTGAACTATTTCTCTAGTTCCTAAGGGGGCAAAGTCTTAAATGAGAAAGTCATTCAATTATAATGGTAATTTTTAAATTTAGTGGCTAATTACTAAATGTTTCAAAAGAAGGAACAATGAAGAAAATCATAGTCATTCTGTTTTTTGTTTGTTTTGTTTTGGGGGACCACACCCAGCAGTGCCCAAGGGTTAATTACTCCTGGTTCTCAAAAATTACTCTGGTGGTAATGGTAGGACCCTATAGGATGCCAGGGATGGAACCTGAGTTGGCTGCGGCATGCAAGGCAAGTGCCCTACCTGCTGTACTATCTCTCTGGCACACAGTTATTATATTTACCAAAAAAAAGTACCCATGTCAAGAGCTTTTATTTATTAATTTTATGCTAAGCAGAGTCTCCTGCACCCCGGCGCCTAGCTGTCCTCACCGGGCCCCTTGAAGGGGAACAGGTTGAATTTCCCTCCCCGCCCTGAGCAGAGTCCTGGCAGCCGAAGACCTCCAGAACCAGCCACAGGCATGCTGAGACCACTCTCCACACGTCCGGACAAGTCTCATGCATGAAGGAACTGGCAGAGGAACCCAGGCATGCGGGTCCCGGGGCTGAGATCTCCAAGCCTGCTCAGATCGGTACTGGGCCTTCTCCACCAGATCCCCCATCTTCCAGTAGTAGGCGTTACACCCACCAGCTGCCACTGAAGCCAGGTGATCCCATCAACAGCCAAGACCCAGAGACTATAAAACCCAGCTCCTGGAAGCTGGGACAATAAAACATCTTATTATCTCGTTTTTACTTTGGAGAACCTGGCAGGCTACCCAAAGTATCCTTGCCCGCATGGCAGAGTCTGGCAAACTTCCCGTGTCGTACTCAATATGCCAAATACCAGTAACAATGATAGGTCTCATTCTCCTAGCCCTGAAAGAGCATTGAATATGGTTCTTTTAAAATCTCAGGGCTAGGAAGAAGGAGACGTTACTGGTGCCTGCTCGAGGCAATCGATGAACAACAGGATGATCGTGATCGTGACTGTGATGCTGGGGATAAAAACCCAAGACCTCATTACACAAAAGGCATTCCACATGAACTCCATCCCCAATCTCTTAAAAGAAGCAATGAGCAATTCTGCATGAACTTACATATGATAAACAAAGCCAAGGCTGGGGCTGGAGAGATAGCACAGCTGGTAGGGCATTTGCCTTGCACGCCGGACTTACCCGGGTTCGATTCCCAGCATTCTATGTGGTCCCCTGAGCACCGCCAGGAGTAATTCCTGAGTGCAGAGCCAGGAGTACAGGAGTAACCCCTGTGCATTGCCGGATGTGACCCAAAAGCAAAAAAAAAAAAAAAAAGCCAAGGCCAAGGGACTAGGAGGGAGTTCACAGGGCTGGGACACATGCCTTATCTACAGTAGGACCTGAGTGTGAGCCCCCAAACTATTGGCTTCTGGTCCAGCTCCTGCCTCAGTGAATAATTAGACCCACAGAGTTAGGTGGTTTATTGCTGGGAGTATTCCTACAGTCCCCTGAGCACTGCGTGGCAAGCCTTCAATGTAGTGAAATAAAACTTAAAGATAAAAAAAGCAGAAGAGTGAATAACTTATAGGTTTAAAGTCCTGAGTTTCATCAATGGGGTGCCCCTACCCCAAAAAAAACCCAAATTAAAAAAAGCAGAAGTTAAAAAGTGTGCACAATATGAACCCAAGTATGTAAATACATAGGGAAAATACTGTATGCATGTTTTGCAAGTACAAGACTCTGGGTTTCGTTCCTAGAAGCACACAAGCACAAAGACTAAAATATCCAGAGTGACTGCTTCTAGGTAAGAGAAGATTTTTTTTAAGCCATGGCTTGCAATATTTCTCAAATGATCTGTAACAAACTTGATTTAAAACATTTTGATTAAAACGTTCTGGTTAATAGGATTTTTCAATCTGCCTGATTTTATTAATTGCATGTGAATCAACTGAGCTAGAATCCCCACAAGAAGAGAAAGAAAGCAAACATACTACAATTCCACGCCAGAATCTGACTCCCGCTGGAGAAATTCCCAGTCGCAGAACTGTACTGAAGTTCTACTGTTGCTATCACACTACTCCCAGCATCACGGGGGACTTACAGAGGGCTCTGTTGGGGTCAGGGGGTTACAAAGCCTCACAACCACTTGGGTTCCCATCTTCAGAGTTGCCAGAAGATCTGGATCAGGGGCCCTTAAAATAAAGAAAGCAATACAAACATACAAGATAGGAAAAACATTTCCCAAAGCGAGTACAGTCAGTAGGGTTAGGCCTCTGCCCCCAAACCAACCCACTTTTGTTATTTAGAAGTAACAGAAATAGGATTTTACTTAACAGGAAATCCAGCCCAAGATATTGTTATTGTTATTAATTATTAATTATATTATATAATATATTATTAATTATATTATATAATAATATATAATATATAATTAATTGTTATTAATTATTATTATTGTTATTACAACAGGACTATTTCAAAGGCAATAGTAACCAGGAGCATTATTTTATCCATCATTGGAAAGTCTAGGATGTGTTTGATTGGGGCGAGGGATCAGAGCAGGGAGATCACACCTGGTAGTACTCAGGGCTTTCTCCTGGCTCTGTGCTCAGGGATCATTCGCGGCAGGCCTAAGGGGACCATATATGGTGCTAGAGAGCAAACCCTCGTCAGACCATTGGAATTTTCTTTTGTTTTTTGGGACCGCACCCGGAGGTGCCACGTGTACTATGGCGCTGGCCCCTCCCCTTTATATTTCTCAAAGACCACAGGAAGAACTTTGAAGCCAGTAGGGAGACACATTGGCGTTATCTACCATCACCCACAGGAAATCAATTTAACGATATTCTAAGGCTGAACACTATACCTAGCACTTTACAAAGTTTACAAAGTGCTGTCACCTACAGCTTTTTTGGTTTTCTGGTTTTTTTTTTTTTTTTGGAGGGAGACCACAGCCAGAAATGCTTAGGGGTCACTGCACTCAGGGGTCACTGGCTCTGCACTCAGGAATTACTAAATTCAAACATATATTTGAACATAAAGATTCCTGTGTGTACTCGGGGACCTTATGGGATGCCAAGGACCAAATCCAGTCGGCCTCCTGCAAGGCCTCCTCGACACCTACATCTTATTTGACCATCACAGTAAGCAAGCCTTGAAAATAATTTTATTACTCTCAGTTAATCGGATATAAATAGGTATGGGGGGTTGCTCTGCTAATTAGTGGCGGAGGCAGTGATCTGACTAGCTCTTCTGGATCAGCTTGCACCGGGTCTTGGAGAACAGGCCTGGAAATGATATGGATACGGAGGAGATGAATGCCATCTGCATTACACTGCATCCACCGGTCCAGATGGTATGGCTACGTTCACCTGAGTTCTTTGAATTCTCATCTTCTACGAAGTTGGTACCAACTCTTTACCTCGGTGATGCGATTCCATTTCCAGTACTCTCTTTTAGTAATCACCCTCCCGGGGACAATCCAAAGGGCAAAATACCCCGATGGGCAGATAACCGAAGAGGATGACATACAGGCTGAGAGAGCAATACTTGTCACCAAACTCTGCATGTCTGAACCGGGAGCTGCACACCGAGACTTCGGAAGCGAGTTTGGAACTGGAAACTTTCCCCTCTTTGTCCAGACCCTGCGTGTGTCCCCCCTAACCCCCCCAGGTCTCTTCGGGACGTCCCACCGGTAGTGATGCTACTTCCCAGGGACCCACCGCCTTTGAGCACCTACCTCTTAGGTAGATCTGTGTACTTCCAACATGTCTGTCCCCAAGCTCTGCGAACTCTCTGGGCCTCCTCCCGCGACCGCGTCGCCGCCGCAGCGTCCCCGCTGCCATGGAGACGCGGGGGGCGGGGCGAGCCTCCAGCCGGGCTGGCGATGCTCCAGGCAGCCCCGGCCCCGCCCCCGGGCCTGCCCCGACGACCGTCTCGGGCTGGTCCAGACCCCACCTCTGTAGGCTGGAGCCGAAATTCCTTACTGGTACTAGGTGATTTTTTTTTTTATTTGCATTTTTACAAACCGCGGACCGGCGCTTGAAAACCAGCCGCAACTCCCGAAAGGCCTAGAGGAGGCCAGCAGAGGTGGGGCGACTGGGGGGCACTAAGGCCCCTCTGCAGGCGGGACCTCAAAAGCTGGCCCTGGGCTGCGCGAGACACCCCCACCCGCACCCCACGCCCACGTCTCTGCAGAAATTGCACGGGGCGGGCGTGTTCCTGATGCGATTTATTGATCCTCGAGGCTCCGCACGCGTCAAATCCGACTGTCCAGCCAGGGGGAACGTCCGGGTCTGGCGGTGCGTGGCGGTCAGTGGCTCATAGACGAGACTGCGAGGCCTTGGAACCCAGTGGTGCGAGAAAGTCCTCAGCCCCGTAGTCTCTTGAACGCTTCGGTCCTGCTTCCTTCCCCGGCCACTCACCTCTCGGGAAGTGACCCCGAGAGACCTTGGGGGGCCGCGCTCTGAACGCCTCTGCCCCAGCTTTGGAAGAACGTCCAGTCCAACAGGATGGGTTGGATGCGTTGCAGGATAACCTGCCTGGATGCGCTTTCCTCCAGCCGGGAGCGAAGGGGAGCGGCCAGCAGCCTCCCTCCTCTTCGCGCACCTCCTGGACTCTGGGTGGGGGCGCTGGGTTGAGGCTGGGTAACCCCAATACCCCCAGTCTGCCAGAGTAAGAGCAAGGTCCACGGGAGGAAGCCAGGCTGGGGGTCCTCGCGCTCAACACGTGGCCGCCACGGCCACCGGGTTCCCCGACGACGCAGGGGGACCCCCACCGCCCCCCCGCAAGTGGGGGTGACATGGTGGAGACGGGTCCCTCCTCGCCCACGCTCACACTAGCGTCCCGTTCTTGCTGTCGTAGCGAGGGGTGGCCTGCGGGAAACGGAGGACCGCGTACTCGGTGGCCGTTTCCGAGGGCTGGCATCTGGGCGCGCTGGTGTGGCCGCGGCTGCACACTTGGATGTCCGCGTAATGCAAGTTGCTCTCCTCGGACCTGGCGCTTCTCTCCCTCGGGCGGGCAGGCTGCCTGCCGTGCCGTCTGTCCGTGGGGCCTGCTGTACGCGGGGTCTGGAAGGCATGGAGGGAGAGTCCTAGCTCGCCCCCTGGCCTTACGGAGCTGTGGCATCCCTCTCCACTGTGGGTACCAGCTTTGCTCCTCGGTGAAGAGGTCTGAGATATGCAAGACCCAGAGGGAAAGGCTGTGCTGGGGTCCCAGAGCATCTCCCCTCCCCCCGCCCCCATTGCTCGTGGAGAGTGCCCCTTCCTTACCTTTGTGCCATTCTGCTGCAGCTGCTCCTGCAGCTTCTGTGCCCCTCTAGTTTGGCTCCCTAAGGGGGTAAAAAAAATCCAAATGAAAGAGCACCCCCTCTTCCCTGTCTCTACCCCCAAAGTCCTCTTTATATCTTTGCTGGACCCTTATGTTACTTCGCTTAACATAGTGGCCTCCAGTTCCTTCCATGTGATGGCAAATTACAAGCTTCATCTTTTGCTTTTTTCTTTTTTCTTTTTGGGTTACACCCGGTGATGTACAGAGGTTACTCCTGGCTCTGCACTCAGGAATTATTCCTGGCGGTGCTCGGGGGGCCATATGGGATGCTGGGAATCGAACCCGGGTCGGCCACGTGCAAGGCAAACGCCTTACCTGCTGTGCTATCGCTCCAGCCCCACAAGCTTCATCTTTTCTTATAGCTGTGTAATATTGTGTGTGGAGGGGAAATGCACAGGGTAAGGTGCTTTCCTTGTAGGAGGCTGACCCCAGTTCGATCCCTGGTACCACATACGACCCCTCCAGTCCGCTGGAAGTGATTCCTGAGTGCAGAGCCAGGAGTACGCCCTGAGCATTATCATGTGTTGCCCCAAAACAAAGACAAAATTTTTGTTGTGCATAAATACACACACACACACACACACACACACACACAGCTCCTTTATCCCTTCACCTGTTCTGGGCCTTTGGGTTTTCATATCCTGTTCCTTTATGCCCTTTTCAAAGATACCAGAAAGTTCTATTACCTTCTTTTCTGTGATTTGCCTCTCACCCCCTTAATCCCGGTTACCTGTCTTCTTTTTCCTCTGAAAAACAGACGGGCAGCTCCTGTGAAAAGAAAAACAGATCACTCGTGGGTAAGAGCCCTGGCGCCCTGTCATTTATCTGCTCTAACATTATGGGACCTTCACTCGGTCTGCTAACAAAAATTCACCCTGTCCCAAAGCATTTATCATGGTACCACACATCTTCCCAAAGGGTTGGTTCTGGAAGGTGGAGTGGTATAACTGACAGAACCTAACCTAAAAGACAGTGTCAAGCAAGCAGCTATTGAATGCCAGGGAGGTAGCTGGGTTGTGGGCTATTCTGGGACTGTCTGACAGGCTAATCTCTTCAGAGCGTCAAGGGAATCTGTGAAATAACAGAATATGCCTGAATTCAGAGACCCTCTTGCTTCTTCCATCCTTTTCTGCCAACCCTGCCAATACCTACTGCTCATTAAGTAGGGTCCCTCAAAATCCTTTCCTAACAGGTAGCCTCTCTTCCTGCTGCCCTGTACTTATTTTTAATTAACAGAGAAAGTGAGAGAGATTTAACCTTTATAGTGCACCACACAGGGAGCTCTGGATTTGGAGAGTGGCTCAGCTAGCATGCCCTTGCTGCAGGACAGGCTTCATATATTCTTTTTTTTTTTTTTGCTTTTTGGGTCACACCCAGCGATGCACAGGGGTTACTCCTGGTTCATGCACTCAGAAATTACTCCTGACGGTGCTTGGAGGACCATATGGGATGCTGGGAATCGAACCCGGCTCGGCCGCGTGCAAGGCAAACGCCCTACCCGCTGTGCTATCACTCCAGCCCCGAATATATTCATTTCTGAGCCCCTGGGGTCCCGGTGGGGCCAGTGTGTCTATGTGACTTGTCAATTGTTGGATGGCCAGAGAACCAGCAGCAGTCTGAGGAAATAGGTTGAATAGTTTGGGACTGACTTCTCATGCTTTTCCTTGCTAGTACATTTCCAGCTCTCACAAGAACCAACTTTCTTTGTCTGACTTCTGTCTCACAGAGGAAGTTTCCTTCTTTTGCTAATAGGGAGAAGAGGGAGGTGGGACCGAGAGAGACAGAAGTGGGAGAGAGAGAGAGGGAGGCAGAGAAAGAGAGAAAAAAAGAGAGAGAAAGAAGACTCATAAATCACGTTAATTTTACTACTGAGGAATTTTTCCACATTTATTAGACAGAGTGTGTTTGGTTTTATTTTTTAGTTTTAATGCAGCTCCACTGAGTTGAGAACCCTTAGTATGTTCATTGGAATCTAAAGGTGGCTCAGAAAAAGAAACTTTTTATTTATTTATTTAAATAAATAAATGGCTTTGGACAACCTGGCAGGCTACTGAATGTAACCTGCCCACACGGCAGAGTCTGGCAAACTCCCCGTGGCATACCCAATAAGCCAAATACCAGTAACAATGATGGGTCTCATTCTCCTAACCCTGAAAGAGCCTGAATACGGCACTTTAAATCTCAGGGCTAGGACGAAGGAGATGTTACTGGGGCCTGCTCGAGGCAATCGACAAACAACAGGATGATTGTGATCATGATCGTGATTTATTTATTTATGTATTTTTGCTTTTTGGGTCACACCCAGCAATGCACAATGCACAGGGGTCACTCCTGGCTCTGCACTCAGGAATTACTCCTTATGGTGCTCAGGGGACCATATGGGATGCTGGGAATCGAACTTGGGTCAGCCACATATAAGGTAAACGCCCCTACCCACAGTGCTATCGCTGCAGCCCCAGAAAAAGAAACTTGGAGGGGACCAGAGAGATAGTATGGCGGATACGGAGCTCGCTCTCTAAGTGGCCAAACGGACTCAATCCAAGGCACCACTTATAGTTCCACAGGCTCCCCAGGAGTAAGCCCTGAGCACTGTTGGGTGTAGCCTAAAATACAAAAAAAAAAGAAAAAAGAATAAAAAGAAAGATCTTTGAAATTACTCTGAATCTTTCTACTTCCCATTCTCTTACTGTTGTTTAGAGTCAGAGACTTATCCTGTCTGAGATTTTTGGTTCCTTATCACTACTGTCTTTCTTCTACTTAAATAGATCAAAAGAAAATCAACACTACTTTGACACTGACTTGGATTATTCAAATTTAGTGAATAACTTCTTCCCAACTTGGCCATTGCACAAACCTGGACACAACTTAAAAGAAGTATTAGATTTAATTCATAGATGATTGGATTTAATTTTTATTACTTTTCAAATTTTTGATGTGGTTTTAGTTTATATTTTGTTTTTGGTGGTGATCAGGGATCACTTGTAGTGGGTCTTGGGGAACAATATGGGGTAGCGGGATTGAACCCGGGTCAGTCACGTGCAAGGCAAGTGCCCTAACCACTGTACTATCTCTTGAGCACCTGTATTTTATTTTTAGTTAAGAATGCAAAAGTTTGTCTCAAACATAAATATCCTATGATGTTGCAATTCTATATCCCATGAAATAATATTTTTGAGGTTAGTAGACTGGGTTGAGTGTTTGCCTTGCATGTGGCTGACAGGGGTTTGATCCCCAGCATCCAATATGGCATCCTGAGTAATGCCAGAGGTTATTTCTGAGCATAAAGCCAGGAGTAAGCACCATAGGGTATGGTCCAAAAACCAAAAAAAAAAAAAAAACAAACAAAGAAATAATCCATTGCAAATATGGATGCTCATTATAGCATTATTTAAATTGTAAAACATGGGAAATAACCTTAATGTCCAACATTGGTACCTGATGAAATAAAATGGCATAACCAATAACAACATTATGTACCCATTTATGAAAAATATAAGAACACCCAATAGCATGAATAAAAATTTTCCTTTATTAACTTAATAAAAGAGATAAAATATTTGGAGATTAAAAACTATATACAGGGGCTGGAGCAATAGCACAACGGGTAGGGCATTTGCCTTGCACGCAGCCAAGATGGACGATACAGGTTCGATTCCCAGCATCCCATATGGTCCCCCGAGGAGCACCGCCAGGAGTGATTCCTGAGTGCATGAGCCAGGAGTAACCCCTGAGCATCGCCGGGTGTGACCCAAAAAGCAAAAAAAAAAAAAAACAAAAACAAAAACTATATACATAGGAATTTTAAAAGGATTGCATACTATGGATTGCTCGAGCGGGCCCAGTAACGTCTCCATTGGAGACTTTGTTGTTACTGTGTCTGGCATATCGAATACTCTCGGTAGCTTGCCGGGCTCTCCGAGAGGGGCGGAGGAATCGAACTCGGGTCAGCCATGTTGGCGGCTTGTAAGGCGAACGCCCTTAAAATAAAATTTAAAAATTAAAAATAAATATATAAATATATATTCAAAACAGCCAACAACAACAACAAAAAGTATTGCATAGAAATGTATTAAAATGTCTCTGTCCTCTCTGGGACTAAAATTTATGGTATCTTCTTACTTTCTGCTCTTTGGTATTTTTCACATTTTCTTTTTTTTTGCTTTTTGTGTCACACTCAGCAATGCACAGGGATTACTCCTGGCTCACTCATGCACTCAGGAATTACTCCTGGCGGTGCTCAGGGGACCATATGGGATGCTGGGAATCGAACCTGGGTCGGCCCCGTGCAAGGCAAATGCCCTGCCCGCTGTGCTATTGCTCCAGCCCCTCCACATATGGAAAATGTCTATTACTTTTTTACTCAAAAACAACAAAGAACATTTCGAAATAAAATTCTTTTCAATTGTCATAGTATCTTTAATTCCGGAAGTTCTTGAGACAATAAGAAATAAAGATTTAGAGAGGAAATAAGCAGTCTGATTATTGGCAAACAGGTGGACAATATGGCACATGAAAATGTACTCATCCTCTGTTGGAGTAAAATCCCAAATAATAATGGTGGGTCAGGTGTCAAAATATTGAATGTAATCAAAGTAGAGAGAGATAGAGTAATGTGGAAATCATCTGCCCCACAGGTAGGGGGAGGGTGTGGGATGGGGGTATATTGGGTTTTTTGGTGATGGAGAATGGGCACTGGTGAAGGTATGGGTGTTTCATTGTATGACCAAGACTTAAACCCGAAAGCTTTGTAGCTGCTCTCACAGCCATTCAATAAATAAAATTATAAAAAATGAAAAAAAAAAGTAAGGTGGAGTTCATGCCCAATTCAATCAGCCTAATCAGTGGCTGAATAAATAGAAGTACTCCTACATTAATAAATAAATAAACAAATAAAAAGAAAATGTACTCATCCTCATTTATCAGGGAAATCTAAATCAAGACAACAATGAGGCAGCATCTTACACCAGTGAGAATGGCACATATCAAAAAAGCTGGGAACAATCTGTTTGTGGGGAGGTGGTGAAAAAGGAACTCTCTCCCACTGCTGGTGCGAATGCTGTCTGTTTCAACTCCTATGGAAAATAATATGGAGATTTCTCAGAATTTTTACTAAAATAAGTTGCAATATGACTCAGCGATTTCGCTTTTTAGTGTCTACTCCCAGGACACAAAAACATTTATTCAAAATGACATATGCACAGCATAATTCACTGCAGCACTTGGAACAAGAGCTAGGATGTGGAATCAGCTTAGGTGTCCAATGACGGGTGAGTGGACAGTGAAGGTATGGTATATATACACAATGGAATACTATGCAGCTGCAAGGAAAAATAAAATCATTCAGTTTGCTGGACTTGGATGGAACTGGAGGATATCATGTTAAGTGACGTTAAGTCAGAAGAAGGACAAATACAGATAATCTCAGTTTTCTGTAATATAGACCAGCAGAATGAGGTGATGCAAGGTATCAAAGAGGAGATACCTCGATTATTTTGGGCCTTGGATTCTAGAAATGCGGACAGGGAAGGAAAGAAATGGAAGGGGAAATAATGACAGGCACTCACGGGGTAACGGGCCTGGGTTAGGAGCAATGGGCCCCTTTTTGGAACATAGATGTTGGATCACAGAACCAACAGCACTGAAAGCATGAGATCCAAACTTAAGCAACGGAACTTAAAAATGTGCCCTTTGGCGGGGCAGACAGGAGTGGGGTTTGGGGGAGTGGGTGGGGGCGAGGTGGGAGGGTGAGGTGAGAGGGAACCTGAGGACATGGTGGAGTTAAATTGACACTGGTGGTGGGATTGGTGTTGGAACATTGTGTGCTTGAAGTAACTATGACTGACTTTATAAATCATTCATGCTTTAATGATGGTGCTTTCACACAAAATTAATTTTAAAAATGAATGCAGAAAAAATGTTCAGTCCTAATGGTTTCTGGGGCCGGAGCGATAGCCTAGCGGGTAGGGCATTTGCCTTGCTCGCGGTCGACCCGGGATCGATTCCTCCGCCCCTCTCGGAGAGCCCGGCAAGCTACCAAGAGTATCTCGCCCACACGGCAAAGCCTGGCAAGCTACCCGTGACGTATTCAATATGCCAAACACAGTAAGAAGTCTCACAAGGGAGACATTACTGTGTCCGCTCGAGCAAAATCAACAGGAGGACAGTGACAATGACAGTGAATATCTTATGAGGAAGACCATATTTTAACCATAGTTTGGTTAGAGTATCTAGTGTGTTCCTAGCTAGGCCTCTAGATCGAAACTGACAGTGTTAGACAGACTCACTGTGTGACCTTGGGCAAGTTTTGAACTTTGTTGGACTTTCACTTTCCGTGTGTGTGTGTGTGTGTGTGTTCGCACATTAGTTTTTTAAATTGAGGTAAAATTATTTATAAAAGCATTACTCTTAATAATTATTTTAGGCATGTAATGTCAGTGCACTAGCTCCACCACCTAAGGGCCACTATCCCTCCATCACTGTCTTTAGTAGATCAATTTAATTCAATTTGGGGGCCACACATGGTGGTGCTCAGGGCTTATACCTGTCTCTGTTCTCAGGGATCACTCCTGGTAGAGGGCCATTTTGGAATGGTGTATCAAACCTTGCTTGGCCATACGCAAAGAAAGTGCCCTACCCACTGTATTATCTCTCTAGCCCTGGTAGAGTTTAATTTTATTAAAAAACTGAAAATAGAAGACACTAAATCTTCAGGAATTATTATAAGAATGAAATAAAATAGGGGCCAGAGAGATTATACAGCAGGTAAGAAGTGTGTCTTTTTTTTTTTTTTTTTTGCTTTTTGGGTCATACCCAGCGATGCTCAGGGGCTCTGTACTCAGGAATCACTCCTGACGGTGCTCAGGGGACCATATGGGATGCTGGGAATTGAACCCAGGTCGGCCGCATGCAAGGCAAACGCCCTACTTGCTATGCTAATGCTCCAGCCCCTAAGAAGTGTGTCTTGTATGTATGTACCCAGCACCACGAGTGTACCCTGAGCACAGATGGGTATGGCCTAAAAACCAAAGGAGGGAAAAGGGAATCTCTTAAAAAGGAGTGAATGTGAAATGCTTAGAATGAGTCTCATGGCACGTGATGAGTCTCAGTCAAAGCTGATGTCACCGATTACCACCATCAAAGGAAGAACGAGTCAAAGACTAGGAAGGCTTCGAGAGAAAGATGAGCAACCTTCTCTAGAAACTTCTAGAATTTCTAGAAATCTTATGTTTGTAGGACATCTCAATTGGAAAAAGCCTTTTTTGTTGTTGTTGCTGCTGCTATTGTTTGGGGGGGACATACCTGGCAGTGCTCTGGGCTCAGTTCTGGCTCTGTGTTCAAGGGTAACTCTTGGCAGTTCTCAGGGGATGGTATGGGGTGCTGGGGAGCGAACCCCACTGGCTACATGCAAAGCTAGAAATGAACATGCTGTACTATCTCTCTGGCACTGCCCCCCAACCCCCACCCCAATCATCCTGGGGGAATGTATCATGTATCCCTGTTCTCCTTTTGCTGATGACTCATTCAAGGTTCTAGAACTTTGGTACCTTAAGCAAGAAGCCAGTGAACGAACTTCCTACTATTTCTATGTTGTCTTCATTTTTCGTAGTACATGACTCATCAAAAAAAATCTATGACTAATCAAAAAATTATTTACTTAGTCATAGAATGAATAAATGAATAATAGGGAGAACTTGATGAATCCAGTGAACTGACTCCAGAGTCTGTGAGCTTTTCCAATGTCCCTCACCTATCTCTGTAGACTTACTGATGGTTTATTCATAAATAAGACATCCTCAGGCTTGGAATGCCTCCTGCTAAGTAAGCAGGAGTCACGATAAAATCAGGCCCAGGGGCTTACAGTGATAACACAGAGAAAGGACAATAAAGACAGTACAAATAATTCACTCAGGCATTCACATTTCCTCTGCCCATCAAATCAGTGATCTTCAGTATGGGTCACTGGTTCTGGTTTTGGGGGTTAATTTTTATCTATTCTTATAATGAAATACATATATTTTATGTAGGAAGAAAAAAAAAGTGTTCGATTTTGCCCCAAGTTCACACAGCAAATACGTATAAAAGTGATACTCAGATATTTCATTAATATTCTCCTCCTCACTCCTGACCTTTAAGTAAACATTTCTCCAGGCCTGGAGAGAGCTCTTGGGGGGGTGGGGTGGGGGCTGAAAGGATGCAGAACCCTGCACAGCATGGGTTCCCCATCACTGCTGGGAACAATCCTTTGAACCTGGAGTAGCCCTAGAGCCCCCCCCCCCCCCCCCCCCCCGGGTGTGGTACCAAAACCACAATAAACATTTTCTCCGAAGGCAATTATCTTTATTGGGAGATATTATGGAGTGCTTAAAAGTAAGGGTGAGTCCCTAGTTTGGAATCTTGATTTAATCTTGATTTACATGCTTGCTCGCCACGTGACCTCGGCCAAGGTAACTCCTCTGACTTCAGCTTTTTCCCCTTTTAGACGGTAAAATAGAAGGTGTCAGACTACGGACCCCACGGGATCGCTGGGAAAATGAAATGAGATTGCAAAGTGACAAAAGACTCGCCAAGGGCTTCAGTGATCATCTCTGCTTGGGGAAGGGAAAGGCGAGGAAGAGGACGACAAAGAGACAATGTTGATTCACTATTCAGCCCTGTGCTGGCCATTCTCCAGACAGCTGGCCAGGCTGTTTTCTGAGGTCTCGGGAAAGGAGTGCAGGAGGTCGTGCCTCTCTGGTGTGGGTACCCGGAGGTGCCAGGCGCAGGAAGGTGGCAGTGGGGGTTGGCAGGGGACCATCTGCAGGTCTCTTATTCTTGGGCCTCCAGGGCACTGGCTGTCATGTTACCCTCACCCGTTCCCCCTACTCACCAGGGTCCCCTGCAGCCGCAGCACAGTTGGTTTCCCATGGTGCTCGGATCTCGGAGGCAGCCCAGCTGTTTGCTCTACAGAAAGAAGGCTTGTGCGTTTCCTGGTTCCTGGTTTAGCTTTCACCCGCCCAGCAGAGCCTGTCAAGTGTCAGGTTTCAACCAAGCAGGTTGGACTTTGGAAGCCGCCTGCTGGAAAGGTTTCCAGGTGACTAGCAGCCAAAAGGTAGAGGCTCCAGGTAAGAGCTAGCCCCCCTTTGGGATTTGGAGCTGCTTTAGGGCGCCATTGACCTTCGAGCTTCAAGCCTCAGTGAAAAGAAACCGGAGACAGAAAAGGGTTCGAGGTTTCCTTGGGAACTGCTTCCACATGACACTCTCGCTGAAATATATCCTCGGGTATGAAGTAAAGGGTCTTACTTTCTGTTTCCCCAGCTCTGGATTGGTTTGAGTTTCACTTTCAAGACCATTGGCATCAGTTTCTTCTTGCCCAGTCAGAATCTGGGTTTGAATACTGAAGTCTCTTGGAAACTGAAATTCGAGGGAAGCGGTTACCTTTTATAATCTCCCCTGCTATTGGAATTTATGTGGATAAGTCACTTTTATTCAGGAGGATTGGACTCCCGACTTCTATGGTCAACAAATCCATGATCCATGGTTAGAATACCTCAGCACTTCCACTTCTTCTTTCTGTTTTTGCTTTGGTTTTGATTTTTGGGCCACACACACTGTGGCCCTCAGGCTACTCGTGGCTCTGAGCTTGGGGGATGTTGCTCCCAGCAGTGCTCAAGGATCCATGTGGCGGTGGGGTGTGAACTCAGGCCTCCAGTGGGCAAAGCATGCACCTGAGCCTCCATGCTTTTTGTGTCTCAGTTTTTTTGTTTTATTTGGCCGCAACTGGTAGTGCCTGGGACTCCTCCAGACTCTGTGCACAGGGGCTCTCCCAGTGGTGCTCGGGGATATTTGTAGTAACAGGGATCCAACCTGTGTGCAAGAAAAGTCCCACGGAGGAACATCCCCAGCCCCTCTGGCCCACATATTTTTTTTTTTTTGCTTTTTGGGTCGCACCCAGAGATGCTCAGGGGTTACTCCTGGCTTTGCACTCAGGAATCACTCCTGGCGGTGCTCGGGGGACCATATGAGATGCTGGGAATCGAACCCGGGTCGGGCACGTGCAAGGCAAACCCGCTGTGCTATTGCTCCAGCCCCCCCATTTTTTAATCATTCCTCTGGCTCTCAGTGAGTTGTCAGATGGGAAAGCGATTATTATCTCGTGCTAAAGCGGATGCATAGTCTTCATATACTATGGCCCTGAGAAACTTCATTTGTACAGTACCACTCATTTTTTCTTTCTTTCCTTTTTTTTTCTTTTTGGGTCATGCCCAGCAATGCTCAGGGGTTACTCCTGGCTCTGTACTCAGAATCACTCCTGGTGGTGCTTGGGGGGACCATATGGGATGCTGGGGATTGAACCTGGGTTGGCTGCTTGCATGACAAATGCCCTACCCGCTATCCTATCACTCCGGCCCTCACTGTATTCTTTCATCCTGTCACTCAGACTTCTAAGCCTGGCATATAAAGACCTCCACTCTCCCATATCTCTAATTGAGAGGAATGCACCTAAGGAAGTTTAGATGCCTGGAAACCCTGAAGAAGCCAAATGTTTTGTGGTAGACAGAAACCTGATACTCTAGAGCACTGACAGAGTCTGAGATGATAAGCAGAGTACTGGTAATTCCATTGACATCTCTATCAGTCAGTTCAAGACAAGTACATTTTGGGCCCACATGTTAGATTTCTCATTACATTGTCAAAAAACAGTTGTATGGGTAATAAGGGGCACTGAAAGTCCCAAAAGATACCAGTGAAAGAATTAGGCATGTTTAATTTGGGAAGGGAAGACTAAAGAGGACAGGATGGTTATTTTTAAATATCTGAAGGACACTCAAGTATAAGACGGACTGCGTTTATCTTCTGGGCATTACCAGAACTTACAGGGCAGAAGTAAATTAAAGGTAGGTTACCGTTCAATAGAAGGAAGAATTTACAAGTTAAAAAAAAAAGTGGGCTACTCTATGAAGTTCTAAGTTTTCTATCACTCAGAATGTTCAGGAATTTGACTGAATAAAATTACTTAAAGTGGAGGGGCTTGTACTTAATCTGAGGTTTGAACTCTGGTCCCTTGAACTATCTCCCAGCCCAGGGTCAGATTTTCATATAGGTCCTTGGCTCCAAAATTAAGCTTTGGGCTGAAGATAAGAGTATGGTGGGTCAACACCCAAAAGGAGAGAGAGAACACAGGGGATTGCCCTGCCACAGAGGCAGGGGGGGCTGGGGGGCTGGGGGTGGGGGGGATATTATCCATGGTGGTGGAAAATGGGCACTGGTGGAGCGATGGGTATCTGATCATTGTATAATCGAAACCCAAGCACAAAAAATTGTAAATCTACAACTGTACCTCATGGTGTTTCACTAATAAAAAAAATGGAAAAAAAATAAAAATAAAAATGACTCTAGATTCAAAAAAAAGACTATGGTGGGTAAGGTACCTGCCTTGCGTACACCTGACCCCAGGTTCAATCCCTGGCACTACATATGCTCCCCCGAGCCCTGCCAGGAGTGATCCGTGAGTGCAGAGCCAGGAGTTTGCCCTGAGCATAGCTGGTCCAAAAACCAAAAAGAGAAAAAATAGTGAAGCATCAATCATTTCTTATAGAAGAACTTCAGGCTTGGCAAAAGATATGTTTTTGGACGGGGAGGACTTCTAGAACTCTCCACTTCATACACACGCAAACTCTTTTGACTATAGGGAGCAAAAGGGGGTGAGAAGGGGAATGAGATTCTTAGGTGCTTTTTGTTATTGTTGTTTTTTATTTTGGAGTCACACCTGGAAATGCTCAGGGCTTAATTCCTGGCTCTATGCTCAGGATTTACTCCTGGTGGGGCTTGGGGGACCATATGGGGTGCCAGGGATGGAACCTGGGTCAGGTGTGTGCAAGGCAGACACCTTACTGCTGTACTATACCTCCAAAACAACCCTTAGGTTTTCAATTCATTCCACCCCTGGCACTAAGGCTCTTGTTCCAAAGGAAAGTCTTCTGGTATCACCAATAGCCCTAGATGCCCTGAATTTAGTCTTTCTTCTTTTTTTAATTTTTATTAGTGAAACACTACGAAGTACAGTTAGTTGTAGACTTACAAATTTTTGTACTTGGGTTTCAGTTATACAATGATCGAATACCCATCCCTCCACCAGTGCCCATTCTCTACCACCACTGATCCCAGTATCCCTCCCACCCCCATCCCCCCCATCCCACCCTGCCTCTGTGGCAGGGCATTCCCTTTTGTTCTCTCTCTCCTTTTGGGTGCTGTGGTTTGCAGAAGAGGCATTGAGTGGCAATCATGTTCGGTCTATGGTCTACTCTCAGCATGAATCTCCCATCCTGGGAGGATCCTCCCAACACCCTTTATTTGGTGCTCCATTCTCTATCTGAGCTGCTTTTTCCCCTAGTGTGTGTGGTTGGACTCCAAGCCATGGAGTAAACCCTGCATTTCGTCTTGAATGGGGTAGAGTGACCCAGTGACTTCTCCCCCTGGGATGTTCCAGGATTAGAAACAAATGCTTACTCTGCTGGGTCTCCCCTGTGCAGGAAGGCTCCACAATATGGAGAGACACAGACTTTCGGGGGGGGGGGTGTGCCCCTGGATTAACATGCTGAATCTGTTTTCAGTGAACCAACCTTAGCATGGGTAAACAGGGCTGCAGCCCCAAACTGTTTTCCCAGTCCCTGCCCCAAACAGGCCAGACAGTGTGGAGACCCTGCCTTTGTGTCTCTAATCACCAACTCAGACAGTGCCCACAGAGCTGTTTGGATGGTAGATCCCCTGTCCCTCCCAGGACCACTCTCTCTTTTGTGGCATTGTGAGAAAAAGAAAGAAAAAGAAAAAACAGCAAGTGGTTAGGAATTTGGTCTGGAGCCAGCACCAGCTATGGGGGTTATCTCAGCCTCCAAGGGTGAGCTGGGGGGGGTGGTGTTGGGGGTGCCAGGATGTTGTCGGAGGCATCTGATTGAAGCTCTATGTCTAACTGGCCCTAACCAATGCTTCTCCCTGTTCGCTGAGTCCTCTGATACCTGGGTCCCAGGGTGGGGGTAGGGGGACAGAATCTGAAGCAACACAAACAAGGCCCTGAGATTCTGGTTTATTCTGTGCTACCCAGAACTACACACAGGCTACGGCATGTCCCCAGGGATCAAACTGTACACTGTGACCACTCTCGTGTGTTCCCTTCCCCACCCCGCAGGATGCGGCTACCTCCAGCAGCGCTCCGGACCCAGGGAGGTAGTAGGAAGGGGTGCGCTTGGGTGCTGGGTCTGCGGCACTCAGGACTCCACTCCCGCCGCGTCCCCCTCTTCCTCGAGGTCAGGTGGCGCCGGGAGCAGGGAGACGTGCACCTCATTGATCTCTGTGTCCGAGTGCCGGCCGCCCCGGGGGGCCTCCAGGTGAAGGATGCCGTCGTGGGAGAGGGCGGCGCGCAGCCGCCAGGGGTCCACGTCGGCGGGCAGCACGTAGGTGCGGCAGAACTCGCGGGACACGAAGCCGTGGCGGTCCAGGCGCTGGGGGTGCCGGGCGGACACCTCCAGCAGGTTGTCCACAGTCCTCACCGTCACCTCATCGGGGGTGAAGTGGCTCACGTCCAGGAAGGCCTGGAACTTGCCCTCGCTGAGCCTGAGCTCCGAGGCCCCTGCCCTGCTGCCCTCCCCGGCGCGGGTGGCCCGGGGCCGGACGTAGTAGCCGTGGTAGAGGGTGGGGGTCAGGATCTCTTCGGGCAGCAGGCCTGGGGGGCGGAAAGGGGGGGAAGAGAAGGCAGGGGAGGGGATGAGGCTGGAGGACAGGGGGCGAGAAGAGATCCGGAGGGGAGGACCAGGGAGAGGATGGCAGCCAGGCAGCCAGAGGGGGCTGCATTGCAGGCAGCGGGGGTCGGGGGGGGGGTGCCCAGGGCACCCCCGAGAGGGCCGGGGGACAGCTAGCAGGGCCTGGCGCCCGAGGGCCCGAGGGGACAGTCCGGGGTGGGAGACGGGCCGGCCGCGAGTGCAGTTAAGCCCGGAACGGGGCGCGGGCCAGGACGGGCCGGGAAAGCGGCCCAGAATTTCAGGCGGCGGGGGTGGGGGCCCGGGGGGTGGCGACTGGGCCCTACCTTCCCCAAAGCGCTGCTCGCCCAGGCGGCTCGGGTTGGCAAACTCGTACTCGGTGGTGGCCGGGTGGGCATGTGGCACCGAGCGGCCCGACATGGCTGCACTGGCGTCCGCGGCCCTGGTCCGAGAGGTGCGGCCCCAGCAGGCGCGCCGGGACCCCTCCAGCTGCCCGCGGAGGTGGGGGCGGGGTCGACACCACCCAAAATAGTGCGGAGGAGCCGGGGTGGGGTGGGGGAGGGGCGGGAAGCCGGGCTCCCGCGGCGAGGAGTGACCGGCAGCTTACGGACCCCTGGCCCCTCCCCCGCGCACCCTTCAGCTGTCGCTGGCCCCCCTCCCCCCCTGGCGTGGACAGCTGAGGGTCCCGGGCTGAGGAGTGGGCTGGGGAGCAGAGCTGGTGGCCGGCCCTGCGGAGATCTCGCTGGGACCCTCCCTCACAATCCAAATGCATCCTCCCGGGGTGGGGGGTGGCAGGCGCAAAACTTGACAAAAGTGTCCCGGGGGCTAACGTTCCGCAGCCTGTGCAGTGACAGGTGCAAGAGAATCCTCTACTCTGGGGACAGCCGCGAGGGGTCTTCCTGCCCAGAGTCTGGGCTATCCCCCCGCCCCGCTTCTGAACCCAGGTCAGCCCAGGGCGCCACACAGATGCGGGGCACTGATCAGCAGTCGCGGCGGAGTTGGGGGGGGGGGGGCGCTGCTTTCCCTTGGGACCCGCAAAGAGTTAACGTCCCCGGGACCGCAGCCTCGCTGCTGCTCGGAAGATTCCAGTTCCTGCCCAGGCCCAAGATAGTCGCTGGCTCCATTCCCCTGGCATGCTAGGCAGGGGAGGAGGAGGAGGGCCCCCTCGCCCGGCTGCTTGGGATTCCTGACTTGGCCCCAACTCCACCAAGGGGGGGAGAGTGTGGGGGTGCCAGTGGGTGTGGACGGAAAGCTGGTGAAACAAGACCAGGACAAGTCACTGGCCCGCTCAGGCGTGTTTGTGTTTCTCTTTTCTTAGCTCAGTGAGTACTGGGTATGTGTCACCCTGCCAAATCCCCAATCACAAGTCTCCATGCACTGGCGGCGAGCTGGGATAATAAAACCCCTGACATCACCATTCCAGAAGCTTCACAAGACTGTGTATATAAGGGGCTGGTTGTAGCTGCAGTGGAAGGAGCTGAGCAACCAGCTGACCCCTGACACTTCCAGAGCTACCATGGACATCGCCATCCACCACCCCTGGATCCGTCGTCCCTTCTTTCCCTTCCACTCCCCCAGCCGCCTCTTCGACCAGTTCTTCGGGGAGCACCTGCTCGAGCCTGACTTCTTCCCGTCCTCCTCCCTAAGCCCCTTCTACCTGCGGCCGTCCTCATTCCTGCGGATGCCCAGCTGGATTGACACTGGCCTCTCAGAAGTAAGTCCCTCCTCTGCCAGGACAGTTCTTTCTGGAACCTCCTGGGAACATCTTCATGCACTTTGCTTTTTCTCCCTGCCTAAATCTGGCCGTGTCTAAGTGACTTAGATGCTTTGCACCTGGCAGTGAAGAAAGATGAGCTTACTGGTGCCTTCCTCCCCAGCACCTGTCTGTCCTTGGTCCTCTTTTGCGTCCTATTTCATTGCATTTTATCCCATGTACTACGAAGATCAGCCTCTCCCCCCACCCCCCCACTAACTTTCAACCGGGATGCTCCTTTCTGGTGTGCCCATCATGATCTACATGGAAAGCACTGCCTTCAAATTCCTTCAAATTCCTTTGCTCGCCTATTCTGCCACTTTTTTTTTTTCTTTTCCTACCACCTCTATGCCTGAAAAATTTTATCAGAGCCAGGAGACAGTCCTCCCTCATTCTCGACTCCATCCCCACTGGGTGAAACAGCAGATAACAGCCGCTATCTTTCTTTCTTTCTTTCTTTCTTTCTTTCTTTCTTTCTTTCTTTCTTTCTTTCCCCACTTGACTTTCTAGTTTTTTGGTTTTTGTCTTGGCTGTCACAGGGCACTGGCTTGAATCCAAGCCTTAAGAGGAAAGAATGCGATCCATTCTTGGGACCCCCATTTGTCCCAAGAGAATAGGGTGAAGAGATAAGGTGGACAGCCGCTGTCACAGAGTATACTCTGGTTTAAAAATATTCTAGTGTGATTAAACAGGAGCTGAGTGGGCAAGGACTTTGGAAGGACAATCAGGACCAGCAGAACATTCCAGATTGGGTGGGTGGGAAACTTGGTAATGACCTGAGCAAGAAGAAGGGGCCTTTGTCTGAGAGACAAATGACAAGACCAGGCATTGGGTCCCAAGAGGCTGCAAAAGCCATGCCCAGACCCGTCCTTGTGATTGGCCTCCACCTCTCTCTGTTCCTGTAGATAAAGTCTGAGCTTGATGATCAGCAGTTCTGATTTGAGTACCATGGTGGTGCCTCCCCTCAGCCAGAGAAACATTCACTCAAAAAGGGATTTTATTCTTAGCCAGAAAAAAAGAGGATTAAGTTCCTGGGGAGAAATCACATCTCCAGAATGAAGAAACTGCAGTGTAAGCCACATTTCAACCCTTTTTTCTGCACCCTCTCCTCCCCACTTCATTATTTCTAGATGCGTCTGGAGAAGGACAGGTTTTCTGTCAACCTGGATGTGAAGCACTTCTCCCCGGAGGAACTCAAGGTCAAGGTGCTGGGCGACGTGATTGAGGTGCACGGCAAGCACGAAGAGCGCCAGGTATGACTTTTTTTCCTCTGTTGCTCATGTCGTACCTTCTGGATGCCACATACTTGCCAATCATCTCTGAGGAGGGCCACCATGCGGTTCAAAACCATCAGGGGTTCGGATCAATAGTTATCACTCATTGAGGGAGAGACATGCTATCGTTAATACTGTGTTAACTAGAAAAGTGCCAAATGACTGTTGATTTGATTGCGTTCAATGGGATACTTGGGATGTTCACTCTGCATTTAAGTCAATGGTTGTCAACTTTGGTCCCATTAGAATCGGCAGAGGAATAGTTTTTAAAATCCCAGTTGCTCAGGTGTACCCAGACAGATTAGATCAAAATTTTTAGAGAGTGGGACTCGGGCACCAGCCTTTGAGAATCTCTAAGTCATGCTGATAGTCAAAGTGAAGGAGCATTATTTTAGGTGTACTGCTTTTTGGACACTTGGTTGCTTTACAGAATGACATTAGCTGCGTGCACCTAGCGGTCTTTGGGATTGTCTAGAGGTTCAGGGACCCATTTGAGTGCTCAAAATCCTTAGCCTCAGCTTCAGAGTTGTGCTCAGCTCTCAGTACCCTAAGCTGTTGCCCACATAAAATTCAGCTCATTGTGATCTTGTCTGGATAAATGCTTAAAATTCAATAGATAAAATGGTTAAGGTCAATTACTCACTGAGGGACTTCTGAAGAATAAAACTGCTTTTCTTCACTCTTTGGAAGTTTTTTCTTTTTTAAATGAGTTTGCTTTCCATGAATTGGTAACCACTCAATTGTATGCATCAAACAATAGTTTGATATTCTTAGGCTCGCTTAGTTTTTGCTAATCTGATTTAACTTTGGGTCATGGATTCTCTGGATAGAGGTTTTTGTTTTTTTAAGTAGTAGTCCAACTGACCTGGAATGTTCTGGGACATTCCTGAACAGTCAGGACAATTTACGGACTTTCTTTGATCTTTGTTACTAAATAAGATTTAATCTTGTAGGAATAAACATTGATATAAATCTTTAGGACATACCTCTAAACATATCCATGTCTCAGGGTTTGGAGAATTATAAAATTTTGAGCTATTCCAGATTTCTCAGTCTCTCACTGATAAGCAAATTAATCTTAGTCCAAAATAGATTATTTAGTTTTCTCTTATATTATCATGACATTTGGGTCTAGCTGACAGGGAGATGATGGAATCCATTTCCTACTCTTATCTTATCTTTCTGTTCCTTTTGAATCAGGATGAACATGGTTTCATTTCCCGGGAGTTCCAAAGAAAATACCGGATTCCAGCTGATGTGGACCCTCTCACCATTACTTCATCCCTGTCATCTGATGGGGTCCTCACTGTGAATGGACCAAGGAAACAGGCCTCTGGCCCCGAGCGCACCATTCCCATTACCCGTGAAGAGAAGCCGGCTGTTACTAGCCCCAAGAAGTAGATGCCCTTTGTCCCACTGCATTTTTTTTCAAAACAATTAAACAAGAACATTTCCCCATTGGTGAATGGAAATCTTGTGACAGTGCTGAAGCTTATTAATGCTAAGGGCAGGCCCAAATTATTAAGCTAATAAAATATTATTCAGAAACAGATGACTATCTTGTGTTCTAATATTTGGTACATTTAAAAATACACATATACTGTGACCATATAGTTATCACTTGAATATTTACGGGGCTTTGGGGATAACAGAGTCAGAATGACACTCTCGACTACTTGCTAATGGTATAAATTTAGTAAGTCACTTAACCTTTCTGTCTTTGGGTCTTCTATTTATAACATGGGTACTGATTTATACACTTGTTGTAAGGAGTAAATTAAGAAAATGTAGGTGAGGTCCTTGGCAGAGTTCAGAAATATTATCATCCCTCTCTCTCTTCTCTCTGTGATTTTGACCACAATATCAATATTGTGGTTCCAATATCAAATGTGAATGAAGTCTGGATAACAATGCGTAGAAGACCTCAGTGCATCTCCAAGATTACTCATGGCACTAAGGAGGAAAGTGCCCCCAATATTATCTGACATTTCTCTTATTGGTGACTATTGCATTCTACTATTGATTCACCAGGGCATATCACCAAGCAAACCTCTTCAATTTAGTCTCTAAATCAGTATTTTTCAAACTGGGCAATACTGACAGAAAGGTGGGAGTATTCTCGGTTGTAACTGGAAAGCACTTTTTTTTTAAATTTTATTGGATAACCGTGAGATAGCTATAAGCTTTCATGTTTGGGTTACAATCGCACAATGATCAAACACCCATCCCTCCACCAGAGCACATTCCCCACCACCAATATCCCCAGTATAACCCCCTTTCCCATCCTCCCCCTGCCTCCATGGCAGACAATATTCCCCATACTCTCTGTCTCTACTTTTGGACATTATGGTTTGCAATACAGATACTGAGAGGTCATCATGTTTGGTCCATTATCTACTTTCAGCACACATCTCCCATCATTGGGGAGTACTTTGTTTGCTTAAAGAAGGTAGATATTTTCCAGGTATTTTTTTAAGGGAGAGGTGAGTCAAACAAGTTTGAAATCCTCTGCTTTAAATTATCCAAAAAAATCTACTAAACTGAAAATTGGGAATACCAGAATCAATAACTCACCACAGAAAAGTTTTAGAATTATAATGAATGATTAATAAGTAAATGTATTTAACTTAAATCAAATATCACTCCAAAAAACACCTCCATTTCCCTTGAGTATACAAAATAGTTTGGATTCAATTAGTAGAAAAAAAATAGCCCTGATGTAGACTTTCTGGTATAAATGTTTAGAGAGAACTCTTATTTAATTTAATTTAATTTATTTATTTTGCTTTTGGATCACACCCGGCAATGCCCAGGGGTTACTCCTGGTTCATGCACTCAGGAATTACTCCTGGTGGTGCTTGGGGGACCATATGGGATGCTGGAAATTGAACCCTGGTTGGCTGTGTGCAAGGCAAATGCCTTACTCGCTGTGCTATCACTCCAGCCCCAAGAGAACTCTTATTTTAATTCTGTAGCAGCCTCCACCTGATTTCAAACGTCTCACAAGGACTGTCACTGTCACTGTTACTGTCCTCCCATTGTTCATCGATTTACTCCAGTGGGCCCAGTAACATTGTGAGACTTGTTCTGTGTTTGACATATCGAATACATCATGGGTAGCTTGCCTGGCTTTGCCATGCAGGTGAGATACTCTCGGTAGTTTGCTGGGCTCTCCGAGAGGGGTGGAATAATTGAACTCGGGTTGGCCACGTGCAAGACAAACCCCCTACCTGCTGTGCTAGGACTGACCATAAGGTAAACCATGATCCTTATCTTCACAAAGTCTGTAGTTAGAAAATATTTCAACTTACATTGCCAAAAATTTCCATGATTCAAGGGTGGGGGACTAGGACTGTATAAACTACAAATGTACGTAGGTTTAAAATTATTTTTTGTTTGTACTTTTGTTTTAATTATACAGCTCGGTAGGGCGTTTGCCTTGCACGCAGCCAACATGGCTGACCCGAGTTCGATTCCTCCGCCCCTCTCGGAGAGCCCGGCAAGCTACCGAGAGTATTCATATGCCAGACACAGTAACAACAAAGTCTCCAATGGAGACGTTACTGGGCCCGCTCGAGCAAATCGATGAACGACGGGAGGACCGTGACTATCTCTCTATCTAGGCTCAAGATGTCTTACCATAAGAAACAAAACAGTGGAGTTCATGCCCAATTCAATCAGCTTAATCAATAGCTGAATAAATAGCATTACTCCTTCATTAAAAAAAAAAAGAAAAACAAAATAAAAAAAAACTTTCTTTTTTGTTTTTTGCTTATTTGGGCCAAACCTGGCAGTTCTCAGGACTTACTCCTGGCTCTTATCTCAGCGATGACTCCTGATGGTGCTCTGGGAACCATAAAAAATGCCAGAGATCAAACCTGGGTTAGCCACATACAAGATAAATGTCTTACCTGCTGTAATACCACTCCGGCCCATCTTTCTAGTAGTCTGAAATGTTATTGTTTAGCTAGAAACCAAATTTGTTTTCTTGTTTTTGAGTCATACCAAGGATTTGCTGGGGCTACTCCTGGCTTCTGTGCTCTGAGGTTACGTCTGGTGGTGCTCAAGGGACCATGTACTGTTGAGGATTAAACCCAGGCCTCCTGAGTGCAAAGCAGGTGCTCAATTCACTAGTTATCTCTTCAGACCCCAGATTTCTTTAAACTAATAGCCATTTTTTTGGTGGTTATGTAACAGACTGTTGGCCTTGCTAATAACACCCCATATTTGTTTATGTATCATCATATTCTTCCTGGTCATGTGTTTTAGGGACGTGAACTCAGGCTTTAACTAGGGAGAGTATATCTTGACTAGTTGAAACTAACCGTGGAAATTCCCTTTTTTTTCTGTACTGATAACTCTTTTTTTTTTTCCTCTGTGAGTCACACCCAGTGATGCTCAGAGTTTACTTGTGGCTTTGCACTCAGGAATTAGTCCTGGTGGTGCTTGGGGGACCATATGTGATGCTGGGAATCCAACCCGGGTCGGCCGCATGCAAGGCAAATGCCTTACCCGCTGTACTATCGCTCCAGCCTCGTGTACTGATAACTCTTAAAGGAGCTATGATTCAATTACTGCCAGTGAGACAGGAGAGAAGTTTGTTAGAGATGCTTCAAGAAAAGATACCAAGGGGACAGAGAGATACTACAGCTGATATGGCTTCCCTTGCATATAACCAACCCAAGCTCTGTCCTCAGCACCATATATGAGCACTGCCAGGAGTGATTCCTGAACACAGTGCCAGGAGTAACCCCAGAACGCTGCCAAATGTCACATGAAAACTAAAAGCAAAGAACAAATGAAACACCAATGAAAGGGAGAGAGAGAAAGAGAGAGAGAGAGAGAGAGAGAGAGAGGGAGAGAGAGGAAGAAAGGGAGAGAGGGAGAGAGGGGTGGACAATGAGGCTACAGTCTCCGAATGTTGGAACATGAGAACATAACACTCAGATTGCTAAATCCTCTTGCAACCATGAGAAATAGCACTGTAGCACTGTCCTTCCGTTGTTCATTGTTTTGCTTGAGAGGGTCCAATAACACTGTGACTTGTTACTGTGTTTGGCATATCGAATACGTCACGGGTAGCTTGCCAGGCTTGCCATGCGGGCGAGATAATTCTCGGTAGCTTGCCGGGCTCTCCAAGAGGGGCGGAGGAATCGAACTTGGGTCAGACAGGTCGGCCACGTGCAAGGCAAATGCCCTACCTGCTGTGCTATCGCTCCAGCCCCATGAGAAATAATCATGATATATTCAGATGGCTAAAGAAGATAGGAGATTCTGATCCTTGATGGGCCAATAAATTACTGAATTAGTCAACTCTAGAGTTTTCCTAATCCATGATGTCTTACTATGTTTTCTTTTAAAATTTAATCTTAATGAAGTTTTATGTAACCAAGAGGCAAAAACAAAACTGATAAGAACTGAATAAAATATTCTAAATACTAAAGGATGCCCTGCAAGTCATCTGCCAACTTTAATCTTTTGTTGTTGTTGTTTGGAATGTGCATAACAGTGTAGAACTGGTGAGTCAGTGCAAAGACTAATGAAGTGATATTTCTCAGAGATATTTGGGGCTACCACACCACACCCAAAATGCTAGAATATCAGGGCCTTGCCCATACTTTGTATGTGCTTCAGTCCTGCATACTCAGTCCGCGTGTGTGTGTGTGTGTGTGTGTGTGTGTGTGTGTAGTATGGGTTTGGGCCACATCTGACAGTTCTTGGGGGCTATTCTTGGCTCTGTCTTTGGGAGAGATCCCTGGTGGTGCTCAGGGAACCAGATGAGGTACCAGGAATTAGAACTGGGGTCAGCTGAGTGTAAGATAAGTACTGTACAATTTCTCCAGCCTCTTGCTTTTTAAAATCAGCTAACATTTATTGAGTTCTGATAAGATGTCGAACTCAGAACTCAATAAATGTTAGCTATCGAATGTAGCCTGCCCACAGGGCAGAGTCTGGCAAACTCCCCGTGGCGTACCAAATATGCCAAATACCAGTAACAATGATGGGTCTCCTTCTCCTAAGTAGCCTTGAATATAATCTCAGGGCTAGGATGAAAGAGACGTTACTGGGGCCTGCTCGAGGCAATCGACGAATAACAGGATGATGAAATGAAAAAAATGAAAAATTTATTGAGTACTTGCTATTGAATAAGAATTGTGCTGAATGCCTTACATTTTTAAACTATAATTTTGTGGGCAATAATTCTGAAAAAAAGTGTAACTTAAGCACATAATTTTAGTAAGATGCCACACTTAGAAGACTAGATGGATGTATTTGCCAAATGGCTCTACAATGATACATGATTTTAGCTTTAAAGATTCTATTTTGGGGCCAGAGCAACAGTATAGCAAGTAGGGCGCTTGCCTTGCACATGGCCAACCTGGGTTCGATCTCTGGCATCCCATATGGTCCCAAGTACACCGATCACAGGTGTGATCCCTGAGCACAAAGCCAGGAGTAACTTCCAGGTGTGACCTAAACTAAAAATAAATAGATAAAAAATAATGTAAAAAATTCTGAATTCTATTCTTGGAGTTGGGGAGAAAATACAAT